TTTGCAGTTCCCGGGCCCGATATCCTCATCTGTAGAATTTTCTGAGCTCAAGTTCAAATCATTAATTCACCGTCATTGTGTTCGTTGTGGCTACTCTTGCTAATATCATGTCAAATACACTTCCGAGCAATCATCTTCATCGTATTTGACTGCCTCGCGCACTGAGTGATCGTGTACATATCATCAGAAGTCTAGGACCGTTTGCTGAAGAGAGTGCTGTTCTCCGTGCACAACTCATAGTGGTGGGAGCAGAGAGGTAACCAACCCTTGACCTGGCAAAGGAGTATGAAGGAGATCACGAAACGCTTGGGTGCTGTCGGTGCTACTCGCCTTCCAGGGTGAGGACCGCGTGATCCTCACTGTGCCTGGTTTGAGACGCTTCAAGATATGGCTATCACCCGATGTCAGTGGTGTTCTTGCTGTCAGTTTCCTTCCAGATTGCCCGAATGAGTGTCTGGAGAAAGGATTATGGAAAGCTTGCACTAAATCTCTTCCGTACCCTCCTTTTCTTCTTTTCTTCACTATAACCCTTTCGAATGAATCATGGTTGTACGGCAGCGAAGCAACGGTGTTGAACGCTGATGTCATGCTGTCGATGATGATGGGATCTTGGGCCAATTGTTGACGGGACCTCTTTGGTTTGATCTAGTTTTATAGTCCGCCTCCAGCTTTTTAACGAGGGGGTGGAAGTTGAGTGAGCCTTTTCCCGCGCGGCTTCCCGAGTTTCGGCCTCTTTTTCATACATGGTTGTACGTAGCAAGGGATGGTAATTTAGGGTATCTTGAGTGAGTAAAGTATGTAAAGGTAAGGATATTTGAGGTGTCAGGAGTGGGACTGGAATCACATAGCTTACACACTGTATCTGGAACAATGATCACTTTCGGTCTTCCGAAGTCCTGCGTGATCCGCATCTGCTGTTATTTACGGGGTGACAGCTTCAGTCGTCAATATCCATGGCTGGACGTTTTCACGTACATCCTGCGCAGGCCGTTCATCAGTATTGTGCGCATGAACGACAGTCTGGTCGTTTCCGTTAATTGACTAACTCATGACGCAGGCCTTCTTTGATTTTGTTACAGATTTTACCTTCATAGTATGGAGAGAAAAATTGTTCAGCTGTAGCACCCTTCCGATGCCTACCTGCCATTCCACCCGAAGGAAGCATGAGGGCTGGGATACTGCCAGGTTCCCCTAGCCTAGACAGGGGAAGTCGAGAGGCAGAGGTCGGGCTCGAACCACAGACCTTCCGGTCAGTAAATTCGCGCTCTAACTACTTGAACCATCTCATAGTAAGAGCCTTGAAGCTTATCCATCCATCTTACGATCCGGTCGATCGTTTCAACCCTGGTAACAGCGCCCAACTTGTCATTATTCCAGTTTTTGTGTTTCTAGCTAGCTACATACTACTGAAGCATTAAAGCAACGTGGCGCTCCCCCCGAGGTTTTCATAAGCTCGACTCCTAGTTCAGGCTCTTCAATCTGTCTTTGCTGGTTATACTCGGCTTTCCAACGTTTTGCCGTAGTCTGAACGGAAAGTCGTGTTTAAATGCACAGCCGTTCGGTTCCGATCGGTTCTGTATGCAACCGCTGTTTGACGAACTGTGTGATTCTCGTAGCGATCCTAACTTCATCGGTTTTTTTTTCAAGCGGAATGAAAGTGTCGGTATTCATCACCATTGACGTCGGCATGTGCCCTCATGAGCCTTCATGAATAGTCGGTGTGTTATGTGATAAAATCTTGTCGGATCAACGTTTCTCTGTCAGTCTTTTCTGGGATTCGTTTGCTAACGAATTCCATTTCTGCTCATCTCCGATTGCTGGTGATCATCTTTCTCTCAAGTCTGTTTCATGTACACGGACCGTATGCAGACCCTCACATATGATTCTTTACGTGAACATCTATGCTGCTGCGCGTCCCACGTGATCAACCTTTCAGTTTATGACATTCCTCTTCGTGTGCATACACACACAGAATATGTCATCTAGGCTTCGTTCTCTGTTTACCGTGAGGGTGTACTCTCTCTCTCTCTCTCTCTCTTCCTTTCTCTCTATCTCCTTTTCTGCCTTTTATCTTGGACTATGCATTAATGACCTTACGAAACGTACATGACTTAATTTGGTATGCAAAAGTCATTTTGACGAAATTTCTTCTCACCACACTGGTCGGTTTCACCGCATGACCCCTGGTAGTCAGTCTCTCGTCGTGCAAACAAGGTGTGCTGTCGTACGACTTGAGTTTTTTATTCTGTTCCGGTTCTGCTTTGGTAACCTGAGTTTTTGCTTTGATAGAGGTGTATTGATCATGACTGAATACCATACGTTACAGTCCGTCGTTTCGAATTTATGGACCCTAATGTCAAAAGACCTTGAGTAAAAGTTTAGGGCAGTAAGATTTCTACGCAGCCCTGTCGAGATTCTGTTGACCCGGTTCTCATGACGTTCCGGAAGCTCGTGGCTGTTTGACCGAAAGATTAGCCAGAGGTGTGCGTGAACGTCAAAACGATCGTATTCACTGCTAACTCAGCAGTAGTATTAATCTCACCACTCAACCGGCGTTTTCCACTGAAGTTCACAAGTGGTCTAATCTGGCAAACGCTCAACGCAAATTTCAGACGACCGCTGTTAGGAACAAAAACGATATCGTTCAGCTGTAGCGCCCTTTCCATGCCTAGCTGCCGTGCCGCATGAAGGAGGCACGAGGGCTGTGATACTGTCAGGTCGCCCAAGCCTAGACAGGGGAAGTCGAGATGCAGAAGTCGGGTTCGAACCACGGACCTCCCGGTCAGTAAATTCGTGTTCTAACCCCTTGGTCCAACTCGCCCCATTTAGGAACACTTGACATCCCACAAACTGGATAAATTTTGTTGACGAAAATGGAAGCCACCAAAAAGTTTTTAAGGGAAATAAATGCCTTCTAAGGCATTGAACAAATTGGAAATGAGTTGATCGCGTGAAATCGTTTTTGCTATTACGATCCCCTTCGAACTGGTGGTATTTGTCCTCAAATTACTTGTGAACGGTCTCAAAACAATTCGGATGGGGGGTGTCCCAAGGCTAAACCAAAACTTCCGTGTGCCATAATGTCCCTTCCAGGGGGGGATTATATGCCCCCTTCTTTTAAGCAGTACAATCTATGGAAGTGGATCATGCCTGTCAAATTTGCGCATTTGGCTATTTCCTCTTCGTAATAAAATGACTGTCTTCAGTAATTTTGTCTAGCTGTGTTCGTCGCGAAAAAAAGCAGGCTTTTGGCCTTCGGCTGGGGAGGGGGATTTAATTCTAGACTGTAGTTTACCAGGAAGGCCCCTGTGGCCCTCTTCAAGAGGACACTCACTCTTAAGAGAGTCTTTCTTGGTGAACTGTTGTCTCTGTCCGAGCCGTGGCATCCAAACTTCACCGGCTTCGGAATCAGTACATCCAAATTCTGGGTTTTTGGTTCACCAAGAAAGGGAGAAAGATTTTTACGAAAGCAGTCCAAGCGTAATTACTCACCTCTCCTTTTTCGCTTGGCCTTAATACAGACATTACGTGTATTTTTGACATCTGCTACCCTCACGTCCCTCTCTTCTCTCTGATGATAACCTACCTTACACTCAACTCTTGCTTTCACGTAGTTTCTCACTTCAACAGCACATAAATAGTTGCCTACTGTAGCCTCTTGTTTGCCGTAGATTTCTATGGCATGTTGGTCGATCGATGCTCTTCGAGTTCATTATTTGCTGTTCACCGATGACCTGACCCACCGAATTCCTAATGAGCCCTTCTTAATTGCTCGTCGAAGCCACAGTCTATGTGAGCTGAGCACTGTGTGTGCGTCCTTGGCGCTCCTCTGCCATGATGTGATGTGTCTGCAGCCTGGTTAACCCGGTTCCTGATCCACTTACTATGTGTTTTTCGCACATCTCTTGGTTCCTGGCTATGATCACCTGAGCGGCTCTGTACGTGCTACTGATTGGCTGCATATCACATGTATTTGAGAGGAAAAGAGGTGCCCCAATAACGACAAAATGCCCGGCGATGTATTGCTTCTACCGCATGAACGACTTACTTCGTGACCAATCCGGTGGTTGGTAACTCTTTACTCAGTTTCTCTAAGCTAATAAACCAATTCATTCCCCCTATCATCCACTCAGCACTGTCTCCAGTGATCTTGTTTGACACTGGGCAGCCAGCTGATTGCGTGTTTTTGGACTCAGAATTAATTTGCTATTCAGTTGAGTTTCACTTCGCCATATTTCAAAAGGGAGGCCTTTGTTGTGGATTTCAACAAATGCATAAAATCATCAGGCTAGACCGCCTTTGCTCGAAGCATTTTAAGACGAACTGATCCAACCTTTTTTAATCCATCTGCTGGATCCCGATTGCCTTATTTCTTATCCATGTGATTGACAGAAACCCCCTGTTTTCAGCCTGCTCGACATGGCGAGTTGCTTGGTCAATTCTTCGTAAGAATAGTACGCTTGCTTTTATACCAAAGCGTTGTTGCAACAACCTTCGTGTTGGACTTACAATGATCAATCCACCAAAATTACACAAAAGTCATTGTAAAATTCGGCACACAAGTTGTCGAACAATAATGTTTTCGTGATGTCTTCTTTCCTTCGATACAAATTGAGGGATTATAGGTGAAACAAGTGTAAAGTGGCGTCGGTTGGCAAAACCGTAAAAGCGATCGATTGGCGTGAGTGGACAGCGGTCACCCATGCAGACCGTTGAAGACTCAGTGCGCGTACGAACAGTTTCCGAATGCACAAATTCGAATTGCATGAGCGAATCTGGGCGACCTCAGCCATGGGCAGACACTGATACGGAACATATCCTGGTCGTTTGCTAGTCGCTGGACACAGTTTTTGACAAGCATAGTCATAACTAATCATATAACTCGTGGGCAACCACTTTACTCAGAATAGACCCTCTCGATCAGCGAAAATGTGTGGTGCTCCATTATTCTAGCGAAATACACTTATTTGCAAACTAATTTGGTTTTTCAAGAGACTCACCTTGAGCTCAGCTGAATCTCTTGTTTGTGATGTTCTCGGGCAACTGGAAACGTAACTGCCGTGTCGTGCGGTCTGTACAACGCTGGGTGTAGAGGCATCAGCCGAATCATTATGAAATACATTTTGAGTGGAGCGATACGTTTTTTCACCGTTTTCTCTATCCCCCCTCTTGTTTGCAGGGCATGAACTTCATTTTTCGTCTGGCTTTGTCGTTGCTCAAATTCTCCGCCGAAAAACTTCTTGCTTCTGATATGGAAACCATGGTGGTGGTGAGTAAACATCTACTTCCTTCTGTTTTCTGTTGACTGGCGTGATGAAATCGGTACACTGTAGCCTTTGTTATCGTTGGAGGGCCTGAATTTGGTATTGTGTCATCTGTGCTTGGAATTCAGTATTTTGGGATTTATTTGGGGGAGGGGCTTTAAAGATCCGCTTTCTTGTTCTCCAAGGAGACCCTGGCCTTTATCGATCCGCAACTGCATGATCCATCAGTCGCAACCCTGTATGTGATCACTGGAAGAGGTCCTCTGTCCTCGACAATTGCACTCGGTTGCACATGAATTTGGTTTTTACGGGAGACTCATATGAATCTCAGGTTTATAATAAGCTACCTGATGACCCCCGTGAAGAGCCAAACTGGTCGTGGGCTGTCGAAGAACGTCGTGACTGGTTTGCTCCAACAAAATCCTCTGTCTTCCTCAATGACCTGCTTTTTTTTAGTAGGTAGGCAATTGTACTAAAACCTGACTCTTAAGGCACCCTTTAATGATCTATAGGGTCGGACCAGTAAATCCTACTGCCATGTTACGAGGCTCCTGTGCAGTAGTGGAACCGAAAGAAGTATGAAAAAACACCGTGCGCAACACAAGTCTTAGTAGTTGAAGGTGCCAGGACGAACCAAGTGATCCAGGCACTTTGTAGGCCATCATTACAGTCATTCCATTTGTGATAATCACACCCTCGGCCGGAAGAGTTGTTCATTTTCCTAGACTTCTCTTGAACTACCCCCCCCCCCGCCACAAACAAAGTTGGCTTTATTG